TGCTGTCAAGAACCGCTTGATTAATGCCTACTCTAATATACGAAGTTCAAGAAAACTTGAGAAGGTGCTACTTCAACTTTCAGTACATTTGGGTTACAGTTAAAGCGGAGCTCCACCCAAAAGGGGAAGTTCTACTTTAAGGCTTTGTCCCCTGCTCCCCCGATAAGGATTGACTCCTTTGGGGAGCGGGGTTTTGAGCGGGTACCCGAATTTGATAGGCGATCGGAAGCGGAAGTTGTCCTCCCCCTTCTCCCCGTAGTCTTCTGGGACATGTGACAGGTCACTGAAGACTACGGGCCCAATCACAAAGCGCAGTGCTACTCACACATATACAGTGGGCACCTGGCTGTGAAGCCGCAAGCTGTCACAGCCGGATGCCCACACTGAAGATGCCAGCGCCGGGGAGAAAAGATGGCTAGTGATACCACTAGAACAAGGGACAAGCAAGTGTATTTTAAAAGTCAGCAGCTAGAGTTTTTGTAGCTGCTGACTTTTTTTTCTATTCACCAGGAACGCCGCTTTAAGGTCTGCTCCATCTTAAAGAAATTCCAGGACTGCAGGAATGATAGGACCCAAAAACGGTTATCTGCCCTGTGCCAACTGCAGAATCTTTAAAATTTTTCCATGAATTAAAGTATTTCTACTGGTCAAGATGGTACTGATTATTCTGTTTGACAAACTTATTTTTTTTTAGCAGTTTCCATTAAGGAGCCAGGCCGTAAGAGAAATCTGAGCCACTGCTAGGTGTATCACTGCCCCCTGCTGTAGGAGGTCTGCTCTGATTGGTAACTTCCAAGGTCTCGCCACACTTAGTCTGAGTAGTCCCAAGGAGCAATGCCCTCTTGGGGCCAGTAAGGCACAATAAGAATTACCTTTATTGCGGAGACTTTGATCTTGATCTGATATTACTTTTAGAACCTGGTGGAAGGGGGGAAAAGCATATAATATGTTCCCCTTCAAAAGGATGACCTAGAGCATCTATGGCCAAACTGTCCGTATCCTTCTGAAAGGAAACGTATCACACCACATTCTAGTTTACCTTGGAGGCAAAAAGATCCACCACTGGATACCCCCATTTTTGTATGACTAGGTCAAACACTTCCTGATTAAAACTGCATTCCATGTGTGTGACCTTCTCCCTGCTTAGAAAGTCTGTTAATGCATTCAGTTCCCCTTTTAAACAAACTGCCGATAGTGACATTATGTTCATCTTGCCAACGGAAGAGGTCTTCTGCTATCAGCATGAGACTCTTTCACCTCGTTTCCCCTTGTTTATGTAGGCTACCGAGGTGATGTTGTCCGTAAATATCTGAATGCTGCTTGGAGAGTCAATGTGACGTCTTTGGGCTGGAGGGGTTAAATAAAACCCCCCTTTCTCTTTTCCTTTATTGAAGTACCAACATTTCTTCTGATGTTGGCTTCCTGATTTGTTCTGTTGCAGCTTCCTGAAGAGATGACAAATTCTCTTCAGCTGCTGCTTCTTGAGGATCAAACCTATACTGAGGGTCTGAGAGTGTTCCAGGAGTTTTTATATTAAAACATTTTCCTGTGCTAGGTGGGAGGAGCCTCTCTTGTAAGCTGTCCTAAAATATGAATCGGGGGGGGGAGTTTCGCCTATAGTTCTACTTTAAACACAAATACAAAACTGTAATATGTTGCAGCTTACCAACTCTTGGACAAGGTGGCTCCATTTTAGACTAATTTTAATCTATCTTCTCCTGGTGATGTGACCAGTAAGTGTTATTTTTTATATTCATTTAACAGACCAAGTTGTCCACCAAAAGTGGCAGTTAGGTTGAGACAAACCATTTAATGACAGAGGTGCTTTTATTCATATGTAAAACTTATATGTAAAAGGTAAAATAAAAACAGCTTAACCACTAGCCTACAGGGCACTTATACCCCCTTCCTGCCCAGGCCAATTTCTAGCTTTCAGCGCTGGTCACGTTTTGAATGACAATTGCGCGGTCATGCAACACTGTACCCATATGACATTTTTATCATTTTTTTGAGACAGATAGAGCTTTCTTTTGGTGGTATTTAATCACCTCTGGGATTTTTATTTTTTCTTAAACCAAAAACCACTGAAAATTTTGAAAAAAAAAAAAATGTTTCTTAGTTTTTGTTATACAGTTTTGTAAATAAGTGATTTTTCTCCTTCACTAATGTGCGCTAATGAGGCTGCAGTGATGGGCACTGATAGGTGGCACTGACAGGCATCACTGATGGGCACTGAAAGGCAGCACTGATACATAACACTGATAGGCAGCACTGACTGGCATTGATAGGTGGCACTGAAAGGCAGCTAAGATGGGCACTGATATGTGGCATTGATGTGGCACTGGTATGCACTGAGATGTGGCACTGATGGGCACTGGCACGTGGCACTGATGGGGATCATCAGTGCCCTGATGATCAGTGTACATGTCCCCTCCGCGGAAAGCCGATTACCGGCTCTCCTCTCGAGCTGTCAGCGTGACAGCTTGAGGAGAGAAATGCCAATAACCGGCATTTCCGCGTTTACATGTGATCAGCTGTGATTGGACACAGCTGATCACATGACCGAGCCGACATCTTCGGCTCTTTCCGTGATCCGCTGTGTCCGAGGGACACAGCGCACCGGCGATCGCCGTGCTGCGTGCTCCCTGAGCCGCACATGCGCAGTGAGAATGGTAGGACGTCATATGACGTCCTATCAGAACGAGAGAACCACCTTGCGCCTGTCATACTATAGGGCGGGCGGAAGGTGGTTAAAAAAAGTGTTCGCTGACATTTGGCTTATCCGTCTTCCCAGTCTGACAATGCTGCCACCATATTTAAGGATTGGTCAGCTGCGATATATTAAAATTTTGTTATTGGGTTTAACACAGCTTTAAAGTGGAACTTTAACTAAAAAATAAAAAATTGGCAGACAGGCAGGAATTTTAATGTAGAAGAGGCATGCTTTGTCTCTTCTGCATTAGTTACTTACCTGCCTGTCTTCCCCTGTACAGTGAACCACGCATGTGCAGCTCACAGTACAAATTCTGCAATGCCAAATCTGACGTAACTCCCGTGCATGCGCAGGAGTGATGTCATCCCCGCCCGGCTAATGACATCAGCCGAAATCGAGACCCGGACCGAGACTTGAAGCTGTCAGCGGCTGGTCGGGTAGCAAAGGGACGCTGCATTGCTGGAAGTATAGTTCCATTTTAAGACTGGAGTATCTAGTTCAAGAATGATTCTTTAATTTTAACATTGGTCTCATTGCCTGAGAAATCTCAGGCATGATATTTAAGCTCCCAATTTTGTACTGCACTTAAAGTAGTTGTAAGCCTTCACATATACCCATGAAGTGACTACAGGTGATACACAGATTAAACAAATTCTCCTGCATAAATTATACCTATTTGCAGTCTTCTCTTTTCTGTAGCCGTTCAAAGGGCAGAATTTATACAGCTCGTCTGAGCTTCCAGAAAGCTGGGGGTGGGTAGCTGAAGTTACTCCGCATACCTCAGTGAGAAGAGCTCTCAGCCCTGATTGGAAGTAAGGGACACACTCCCCCACATCACCTTTTTATCTCTTGGTGCTGAATAGTTTGTACTGTCTATAGAAATAAAGAATGCCCAAAGTACAAGACAAGAGATCTATAACTTTGTGGGCAATACCTTACTGGATCGGGAACCATTGAGAACACAGCTTGCCATACAGGTCTACATTTTTTTCGATCAGCTTACGAGCTGAACAAAAGAAACTGAACAGGCATGCTAAACACAGTTAAATGGAAGAATCTCCCCTGCCGGCTCCAGTGGCTGTCAAAAGACTTGAACAGTGCTGGTTGGATGCAGGCACTGTTTACATGACAATTTTCCACCTACCTCCTTCTAAAAAAGTAAATTGCTCAACTGACTATTGTCAAGCCGGGTGGTGCCAAAATTTGAGCCATGTGGCCCAGTGTTTCCCTTTAGATATTATATACCATACAACCACTACTGTTAAGTACTTTATAAGGTTGATGTGGTATAAGAAATGGGCTTAAGGGTGAAAGAAGAGGAAATTGTGGTCCAGACTGCAAATCTTGACAGGTTTGTTGATTTCTAGTTTAAAATGCACTTCCATAAGGTGTTTGGAAAGTTTACAAAAATGTTGCAAATTGTACATGTCAAACCAGAAACACAAAAGGAAAAACAGACAAAGACCCAGAAGCTGGAAACTGTAGATACTAGATTGGTTTTCCCAAACTCAAAAAATTCAGAAGATGTTACGAAGCAAACTTGTCCCAGATGATAGTGCTCTACAGGTTACACTGACTGGAAGGCTGAGGGTCAGCATGCATGTTACAAACTGAGTATACAATCTTTGTGCAATCAATTTCAGATATGTGATACGAGTAACTCCATAAACTATCCAGTCAACAAAACCCATACAGTACATAGTTGCTCAATCAAAAGGAGAAGGTATAATCCGATTGTAACGTGTGGTGAGCTTAAGGACTCACACCAGGACAACATTTGCACTGCGTATGGGGCATTTGTGGTTGATCACATAATGCATGGAAAGTTACATATAGAGCAGTATTTACAAACACAAGGTTTTCCTTGATGGAAATATTCTGGCCTTAATATAATTAATAGAGTATGAAAAATAATGAACATGAAAATTAAAGAACAAATTATTATAGATAGCTTGACTATCCCTGTACACAGTGCAAGTATTCTCAAGGTATAGGTATCTAACTTACATTTAAGAAGTTATATTAAAACTGACAGTTATGTTAAACTGATTAAAAACCAGGATGACACTTTCTTAGAAAATCTTCCTGGAAGGCAAAAATTGTAGAATTTGAATATCTGTTTCAAATGGCAAAAACAACAAATCTCATGACATGCAATCTTAAATGCCCATATTTCAGTCTGCAGAAAAATCTATACTACTGTTAGCTTAGCCTAAACAATGATTGTACTTGAAAGGAAAATCAATTTGAAATACAATTTTCCTTCATGGCTGCCCCCATTATATACCTCCAAAGCCAAGGCTGTCTTGTCGTAGGCATTGGGGACTCGCTTCTGGATAACCCTGGCATAAATGGGCCCATTCTGGAGGTTAGGCAGCGGAGTGTTGACACTGGGCTGGGCATAGGGCCCTGGCTCCGGCCCACCCAGTGGCTGCGGATGCGAATTTTCCTGGTTACCTCCAATCAGAGCAGACCCAGAAGTTGGGGGAAGCTTGTACTTTTCCACATAAGGCACTGGTATCATGCCCCGTCTTCCTTCGTTGTCCTCTGCATTCCACCACTGTTCCTCAGGCTTATCCCGGATTCTCAGGATGTCTCCTTTCTTAAATGGAAGATCTTCTTCATCGTTGCCATTAAAGTCAAAAAGAGCCCGTACATATTCTGCTTCCTCCTGCTTCTGGATCACACCAGACTGCTTAGACTTAGAAACAGGTTCTATTAAAGTGGTAGTGTCCAGATAATGTATCTTATAAAATTCCAGTAGAGTAGGTAATGAGTCAAACTCTTGATCCCCTATCCGAAACCTGGTCTGGCCCATGCCTGTAACAAAAGAAAAAGAAACATGAACAAAACCTAAAATAAGCTTTGTGCACTAATGATGCAGAAAAGGGCACTAAAGTCTACCCATGAGCACTGCCCTTTGAAACATGTAAGACTGGCCAGCCCCAGAGAAGAGGACTCTGCATCATGTCACCAGCCTGAAGACACCTGGAAAAGTATTATAAAAACATAAATCCTGTATAATAATAATATTAATAATACAAAGTCTGGGATGAATTGAGGGAGCACAGAGTCAGGCTTTAATTACAAGTTTGCAACTCTTTTATAACATCTCTCAAAACATAGCATGATACATAGTGATCATTGCACAATATTAGAATCACTTGAAAGCAAGATTAAAAACACCCAGGTAGCGCTCAGCTTATGACTGAAGCGTTGATGTTTCATAGGAGATTTTGATAAGTCACTGACTGGCCTCCAAAGGCAATTTCTCTGTTCCTTCCTGTAGTTTAAAGAAAGCTCCCATGAACAAAAGGGGAATGATGGTTAGACAGATTCTTCAGGGATATGCAATGCCTATCACCCGACGCCCAGGACATGTAGTTCTAGAAGCCAGGCAGGTAGTTTTTTTTTTTTTTGCTTTTAGCCCTGCAAGCAGCAGGGCTCATCTGTCAGGTGGAAGCATTCGGGCAGCAGCGCTGCAGTCCGATTGCTTCCACAGAGCCCACAGTGCCAGCCTACGCTGCCCCCCTGCCCACTATATATCCCGGGCTCTGCTTGCACATCTGCTCTTCCTAGACCTTTGTGATAAGAGTGACATAAAAAAATTGGAACTACTATTTTATTCTCTAGGATCTCAGATTTCAGAAATATATCATATTTCAGGGGTTTGTGTCATATTCAGGCCTTAAATTATTTTTTGTTAAACGTGTGGAAATAACGCAAAAACAGCTCCGGCAGTGAAATGGATAAAGGCGGACACTGCCCTTTCCTGACGAGCAGCCAATCGGTGCTCAATACACTGCAAGGTCTCTCCCCTCCCTGCCAGTCCCTGGGCCCGGTGCTGGAGACAGGCAGTGAAGGGAGGAGGAGAGAAACAGTGCAATGTTAAAAATATTAAAGGTTTAAGTCCCTTTTGTTTTTAAAAGCCCCAGATATTACTTAAAGCAGGTTTAAATACAGTTTTGGTTAAAATGTATGTTTTTTTTTACTAGGACAAGTAGATTGGGACACGATTTAGTCCCTAGACAAGTAGTTTTTTTCAAAAATGTCCACACCTGTTCTTGTAGTAAAAGTTATTTGCAAATTAAAGTATCAGCAAACCTTTATTACTGTGGTGTTTTAATGCCCCACACCCAAGTGCAATCGGCCTAGTAAAATACTTGCCCCTTTCAAACATCAAGTGAGCTTTACTGTAAAATTCCTGCTGCAACACAGCCTCAGCAACAAAACTGCTTTCACCAGGTGCTCTCACTATGCACAAGAACCACATCCTCATTCATTCCAGTAAATCAGCTGTACCAATAATGGCTTCAAACTATGCAGCAGAGCATGGCTCATCCATAGTAAAAAAAAAAATGTAGCTATAGTGTGCATGGGCAGCGACCTTACAGGGACATTTTCATTGCAAGAACTGTACAAGGTGTATGGGGGTTATTTACACAGCGAGCACACTCTTAGCACAGAAGGCTCCGGTGCCATGGATGCACATAAGCAGCATCTGGGCATTTAAGACAGCTTCTTTGCTGCCGCACATGTGTTATGGGGTGGCATGAGGTTCCCAATTATGTGATCTGGAGCCGGTAAGGCTCCTGCCTGTAAGCAGTGACAAGGAACAGTTTATGACAGCGTGACTACAGTGCTGGGACGCTGAAGGAGGCTGCGCCTAACACAAAACAGCAGTGCTGGTTCTACCCATTTATGTAGCAGCACAGAATTAAAGCCCACAAACTTTAAATAAACCTCCTAAAGAGAAACGATTAATGAATGCTATCACACATCCAGCCTTTAGTTCTACTTTAAAAACACACAACTGTTGGAAACCCTAAAAATTAGAAATGAGCCTGATTTATTCTTGCTTGACAAATCATCCATATACACCCTGTTCCAAATTATTATGCAAATGATGTTTTTCTCATTTACCTAAATAATTGATGTAAATAACAGTCAGCATAATTCTCATGTTATCAACTATTAAGAGTATAATTAAAATTTTATTGAACAAACCTAATGATAACAGTATTTCTTTAAACAAACTTACAATGCACTGTTCCAAATTATTACGTACAGTAAGTTTCAAAACACTTTATAGGGTGTAAAGAACTGAAAATTGTCATTTGTTGTGTTTGCAGCATATTTACTGAAATCAGAAGCTATTTCAATCAAACTTTTAACATTTTAACTTTTTAAAACATTTTAACAGGTCACGTTACATTGTAACATAGGACCCCTTATTTGATAGCAGCTTCACAAGTCTTGCATCCATTGAACTTGTGAGTTTTTGGACAGTTTCTGCTTGAATTTGTTTGCAAAATGTCAGAATAGCCTCCCAGAGCTGCTGTTTGGATGTAAACTGCCTCCCACCCTCATAGATCTTTTGCTTGAGGATGCTCCAAAGGTTCTCAATAGGATTGAGGTCAGGGGAGGATGGAGGCCACACCATGACTTTCTCTCCTTTTATCCCCATAACAGCCATTGATGCAGAGGTATTCTTTGCAGCATGAGATGGTGCATTGTCATGCATGAAGATGATTTTATTATGGAAAGCATAGTTCTTCCTTCTGTACCAGGGAAGAAAGTGGTCAGTCATAAACTCCACATACTTTGCAGAGCTGATCTTTACAACTTCGGGGACCCTAAAGGGGCCGACCAGCTCTGTTCCCATGATTCCGGCCCAAAACATGACTCCACCACCGCCTCGCTGACATTGCAGCCTTGTTGGAACAGGGTGGCCGTCCACCATCCATCCATCTGGACCATCCAGGGTTGCACGGCACTCATCAGTGAACAGGACTGTTTGAAAATTAGTCTTCATGTATTTTTCTGCCCAATGCAGCCGTTTCTGCTTGTGAGCATTGGTTAGTGGCGGCCGAATAGAAGGTTTATGCACAGTTGCAAGACTCTGGAGGACTCTACACCTTGAAGTCCATGGGACTCCACAGGCACCAGCAGCTTCAAATATCTGTTTGCTTCTATGTAATGGTATTTTAGCAGCTGCTCTCTTGATCTGATGCATGGATCTGGCAGAAATCTTCCTCAATGTGCCTTTATCTGCACAAACCCGTCTGTGCTCTGAATCAGCCACAAATCTCTTAATAGTGCGATGATCACGCTTAAGTTTTTGTGAAATATCTGATGTTTTCATACCTCGTCCAAGGCATTGAACAATTTCACTCTTTTCGGCAGCAGAGAGATCCTTTTTCTTCCCCAAATTGCTTGAAAATGGTGCTCTGCTTAATAATGTGGAACACCCTCCTTTAGTAGTTTTTCCTTAAATTGGGCTCACCGGCCAATCTAATTATCACAGGTGTCCGAGATTGTTTTCAGTGATCAAAAGAGCCCTGACACACAATGCCATCCAGGAGTTAAACTGAAAAACAAAATATTTAATCTTTGTGACACAAATAGAATTTGCATAATAATTTGGAACAGGGTGTAAGTATAAAAAGTGAAGGAAACTTTGAGTTACCTAATGCTAATTGCATCTGTTTTTATACAGCAAATCAAACAACTGGGAGCAACAGCCAAAACCTACCATTTTCCTTCTTCCTCATTTTTGTAAATCAGCCTAAATAAAACCATACTAAAGCTGGACAGAGACCGTTGATGTGGGAAATCGAATGATTTTCTTCCCTGCAACCTGTGGTTGTAGGAAAAAAATCTCTCCATCTATGGCCGGCTTTAGAATTAGCATTGCACCACAGACAATGTCATGATTCACTCCCTAGTCTAGGCTATATAAGAGCATATCTGTGCAGTTCTGAAGCTGAAGGACTGTACTCCAAGGTATATTCTGTTGTGTCTTAAGACATTGAGATCCTGGAGTTAAAGAAACTTTGACAACTTACTCATGCTGTGCAAAGTAATGTATCAGGAAAAGTTCACTTCACCTGTCTGTTCTTTATTACACTGCAGCGAGCATTAGAATAAGCTGTTCTGGGGACCCAGGGAGGGATGACGTCACTTCCCTGGCCATGTAACAGTGCTCAGGTCTAGTGCTGGTTGCTTGACCCACAAAACTGTCAGAGGGGAGAAAATCACATGCTCGGAACATAGCGCTGTCAATAAGGGGGTTCAGTAGGCCCTCCTATACTGGGCCCGGACCCCATCATTTCAACACTTGCCAAGCAAGACTGGCTGTACTGCCTTATCACTGGAACCAATCCTCCTGTGGTTCCCCCTGAAGAGCACCCAGCTACTACTCTCCCTACTGCTGGTGCAGCAGGATCAGTATCTGTGCCCCACTGCACCCTCTTCCGTTTACTGCCCGGGCCCCCCCTAAGGTAAGGAGAATATAGGAGCGTCTGAGCTTTCCAGAGACACTTTGCCTCACTTGTATAAGTCGTCAGCATTTCTTTATACGTGCTTTTAAAGTAATTGTAAAAGATAAACTTTTTTTTTTTTTTTTTCGAAATGGCACATTTAACATATCATCTAGCTGCTTTGAGCAATAGTTTTGCACAGAACAGCCCCAATTCTCCTTTTCTGGGGTACCCCACTGGCGCTCCTGGCACTTCCCACCTGCCGAGTACCCTAGAGCAAGCCACTTGTTATAGGGGCACTCGTGCATGCTCGCTCCCAAGCCGGCTGTGTCTATTGTCAGGGGGAGCTGCATGAAGAAAGATTTCTACTTTAATGCATAAAATGCATCAAGGTAAAAAAAACTTTCTGCCTTTAGAACCACTTTAAGGACACTCAGGCAGTCTACATGTATCTTTGCTAATGTTCCATTTATCTGGTCATCCATTACATTTTATTTTCATTACATGTGTACTTTAAAGGAACACAGAAGCTGTCCATACTGCCCACATTTTCTGAAA